TTATAAATCTAAAATGATTCCAAAATGAAGATTTTATTTAAAAAATGCATGAGAAAATGAGAGAAAAACAGCTAAGAATGGACAGAAACAGAGTTTCATAAGAAATGTCCTGTTTCAATGATAATTTAAAAAGAGGAAATTATAAAACTAGGGGGTAGTAGCTCACATGCAATAAAACTTAGACAAATAAAAATGACAAAGCCTAGAATAAACTGGGATGTGGACAAAGACTGTATTCTAAGATATTACTGATGAGATTGTATGCTAGTGTAGGCTTTCTGGAAAGTAATTTTGCAGTAAGTGACAGAAGCTATAAAACTGATGGCCTTTGCCCTGGAAATACCAGTTTTAGCAACCAATACCAAAGCAATAATTTAAAAGGAAAAAAAATCATCTATTTTTATAAAGTGGTAGTTCTGCTCTACGGTATGGAAGCTGCTCCTATGGCTACTGGTACCTAGACAGATTATGGTGCTATTAATTAAATGGAATATTATAATAAAATTACAAACTACCAATCTGAGAACTGTGAAAAGGAATGTGTGAAGTAATTTTTAAAGAGCTCATTACATGCAACACAGTATCCTAGATTGGGTCCTGGAACAGAAAAAGGTTGTTAGTGGAAAAAATGGGAAAATGTGACTAAAGTCTATAGTTTAGTTAGTAATATGGTATCAATATTACTTTCTTATCTTTGATCACTGTACCATGATAATGGAGAATATGAGAAAAAACTAAGTGAAGGGTATATGGGAACTCAATCTTTGCAAATTTTCTATAAATCCATAATTATTTCAAAATAAAAAGTTAAAATAGAGAACTCAGAATTATATTCAAACATACACATACTGCTACCAACTACAAAAATATTTATTGTATAAAAAATTAGGTAGCCTTGAAAAACATTTTCAGAGTTTTAAAAATACGTTGTTCTTTGGGAGAGTGTGTATGTGTGTCTGTCTGTCTGTGGTCATTTTAAGATGCCTTTGCTGCTTAGAGGTTTCACTGAACTGATTATCAAGATGCTCAGATTCAGAGTGCTTAGAGTGGACTGAGAAGTGTACACATCCCGAAGGCCTGAAAGTGATGTTTATTTTTTCAGCATGTAAGTTTTATCTAGGAGTAAGGAAGACATTTTCTATAATAACCTTTCTGGTAATCATTCCTCACAGACTTCATATTTAGAAATTAACATGAAATTAAATATTATTTTTAAGGAAAGGATATTTTCTGCTTATCTTGGGAGCACTCAGTCCCATGGTCCTTGGCAGACTGAGAGAATGTAAAGGGTTACCTTAAGTAAGTTATTTCTACAAAGGAGCTTGAATATGCAGCGAATTTAGGTGCTAGGCATTGGCTCTGGACCCCAGGCAGCATTAAACACGGGAGGAGTGACTAAGAATGTGAACGGGAGAGAAGCTCCTCCAAAAGGCCTTCATTAAACCAGTTCTAAACTCACTGAATTCAAAATTTGTAAAAAAATATAATTTCATTTCAGGCTGTTGGATTTTGAAATATCTCATAATTCTGAAAGAACACCTTGGCCTTCCCTGGCTCACTCCCATTAGTAGGTGGGTGATCATGTACCCGGAGGCTCCTCGATTTCCTGTCCTCTGCACGGTGAGTTGACAGTGTGCAGATCTGCCAGTCATCAGCAGCAGATTCTCTCCACTCCAGCCCCCACTTCCTCCCGTTCCAGGTCCAACTTTTACCATAAGCCAAGCTGAAATTATACTACTGAGGAATGGCCTGAAAAAACCTGTGGCCCATCCATTTTTCTCAAAGAGTCTAGAGTTCATCTTCTCCTGAAATCAGACCAGAAAGCTGGTCCACACTGTCACAATCTCCACCAATTTACTTGAAATGAGTTCTGCTGGGGTGTTTGTCCTTCGTTCCCAGTGAGTAAGGCTACGAAAGACTAACTGGCAAAACCAAAATTTCTATATATCTATATATATTTGGAATATTGTTGAGGACATTAATCCCATTTGGTGGGAGCCCCTGAATGGAACTCTAGTGAGAATTTTCTTTTAGACAAGTCTACTGAGCATGGGCTCTCGAGCCAAACAGCCTAGATTCAAGTCCTGGCTCTACAACATAGTAGCTGTTTAACTTTCTATGACTCAGTTTCCTCATGTCAAGAAAATGTTACTTAGCCCACTGAATTTTTTCTGAGAATGAGAATGAATAGAATTAAAGCCTGTAGGACCATACCTGGCAAAAAGTTAGCACTCAATAAATATTCATTATTACAACTATTTTATAATGAAGCACTAGAAAAATCTTTACATTGCATAAGGAACTGAGAGGCTTTGCCGTATGTGCAGCGTGATTCATATAAAGCAGGCTCTGAAACCCTTCTCCCTTCCCAGCGTGCTCATGGGTCCTCAACACTGACAGTGACATTCTGCAGCAGGGGGCTCCCTCAGAATGTAGGGCGGGGCAGGGGTAGTTAGAAGCACATGTAGGTTGCAAAGTCCTTTCAAGATTCTGATTTGTCCTTCTAGGGATTTGTCCCATTCACCGTAAGAATCCTCGATGTAATTAATCACCAGGAGGCACAAAAAACCCCAACTGAGTCCATTTTAGCAACTGTGCAAATCCTATGATCTGAAAAGCTCTGTTCCCATTCTTCTCCCCAGGCTGACCTTTCCTTACTCTATACATTGTTCCAGGCCACACTGATTATACCTTCATATCTTCTTTGCCTTTAAAGAAAAGCATTTGTTCTTATACGTCTTCTCAGATCTTTTATGGAACAAAGTAGGATAAAAATAAATAAAACAACACATGTATATTTGTTTAGAACTAAGCACAGCTTCAGTGACTTACGACAAAGTTAAGCATCCTTATTAACATCAACAAATTCATAATAAGTGTTGGAATAGACACACTGGGAATAGAAAGGTAGCAGATAAAGAATTTGGCAAGCAATACAACCAGGAGGGAAGAAAAGAGAAAGCCCAACGCACTGACTGAAGAATAATTTCACCGGTCCTCCTATTCCTGTGACCAGTTCTATCTCCCTTCCATGCACTGCCCTCCCTGCCCACTTGTCAGTTTCACAGGAGGGCTTCCCAGATTATCACTGCCCCAGCCCTCAGTGCTGGAGACAGATACGCCGCTCACCCCTCCTCCTCCAGCCTTTGCTGAAAGACCTTGTAAAACACCTGGTAGTAAAGCAAATTATTCACAGCCCACCTTCCTGCTTTACTGCATCCATTCCTTGCCATAAAATTTATCTTTAAAGGCCAGCATGTTAGCAGCAGCTGAAGGACCTGTACAGAATGCCACTGGCTCTAGAGCTGCCATCATCTTATCAGGCTGTGCTTAAAATGAAGATGAGTCAACTAGGAGCAGAGGAGATTTCAGTGGGAGCCCTGAGATTCTTATAGCATCAACTGGAAATATGGCAGTTTCCAGCAAAGGAGTCAAGGTTTAGAAACTGCATGGTGTTCCCCACTTACTACTACTAAGGAAACCTATTTGCCATTTTATTCATAGACACAGATCTGCTTTGGGTTTCAGAACAAATACAAAAGGATCTGGAAAGCTACTTTCCTCTCCATGGCATTGCGGGTAGAGGGGAGAGGGAGGGGAAGGTGTGGAAGTGGACATGGTGACATTCTCTCACTATGAGGACCAGCTAAGTAACTTGTAAATGAAAACACGAGATGCAGAATAAAAATGCAGGGCCCCTTGTTCAAAAAGCAGGGGGAAAATGCTATAAAAAGTACTAAAACATAAAGCTTTTTCCTTTCTTCTTCATTCTCTCTCTTGGTTTGTTAAGGTGTTTTTAAATTACTATTTAATGCCACGCTCCCTCAGGCATGGGGATACTTGCAGGGTGAGTGCCAACCCTCACAGGTGCCCAGGGCCCTGTCTATGTCTTGGTGCACACACACAGACCACGGCTTCTGGGTCCCCCCTCCCACCAGCTGCTAGACAGATGCACTGTGCCCTGACCAGGGGTGGGGAAGTCAAGCCAGGAATCCCCCCATCCCATGGATCTACCACCTTAACCCACGGCAGATGGGTGACCCACAAGTGTATTGCAACGTCAGTGCCGGGACATGCTAGGTACCAGATTGGGGGTAGGCAGAGGCTCACCCCCACTGAGTGGCCTGCCGAATACACCACAGTGCTGCCATCACCCATGCCCCATCCTGACACACCATGGGGCATGTATGCCCGACTCCAGCCCTCTACGTGCTATACCCTGGGCTCCTGCTGGGGGTGGAGAGCAGTAGGAGTCTCTGGGTGGGGAGAGATAGGGAGGTCTGGCAGGGCCAGGGGAGCAGGCAGCCATAACCACCCAGGGAGGTAGGAAGGTGGCAGGACTGTGTGCAAGCCAAGCCCCGCCCTCTGGTGCATGCTCCATTGTCCTGCCGAACTTCACTTAAAAACTAGAAATTCAGACTCACTGATTAAGAATTTCAAGACAGCAACCTTGAGCACTGAACCCCATGCATGGGGCCCTGGCACGTGCCCTAAAGATGGCCCTGCCGGTACACCAGCAGGAGCCCAGAAACACAAGTGACACAAGCTTGCCCTCACTTTCTATCATAAAGCGTACGCCTCTAACCTGTGATGACAGGCATGGCAGAGAGATTTCACCTTGCACAAGTGTGAGGCTGCTCTGGAGGAGGTGGGCATGAGGGGTCTCACACTCCACTTGTTCAACTCCCACTGCTCTGAAAGGCAGAGCCTGGTGTATCTTCAAAGGCTTGTGAAGCCACCCATTTGATCTTTAATTTTAACATATTACATTGCACAAAGAGCTGATGTGGTGAGACTCGGGCAGAGTCCTCCATGGTTGTAGAAATTTCCTGAAACCTAACTTGGCCTAGGAGTTTTCTTAAAATGTTGGGGACATTAGAAAAGAGAGAGAATTGAGGGATAATTACTTATTAAGTGACTCTGGGTTGATGGTTTTTAAAAACTAAGCCATAATCCAAAGTCATTACTGTGATGTAAGAATATAACCTGGTTGCTGAAAGTATGTTTCTCACAAACCTTGGCTTCGGGATCACTGTTGATACTACAAGAATCGTCATCATCAGCATGTGGGGTGTTTCTAGAAAAAAAACAAACAGAAAACCGAGCTTAGAATTCTACTGCAAACTCTAGCTGCACAAAGCCATACTTTAGAGCAGATCCTTCCAATGTCCTACCTGAGTTTCAAAGATGCATAGCGTAGTGTTGCTCCTTCAAACTCTTTTAAACTGGGGTCTGGGTTAACTGTGGCTGCATGCAAATCCTAGAGGAAAATAGATCCCTGTTAATGTACAATGGGAGAGGAATCCAACACATTGCCCCAAAATCAAAGGGGAGGGAAGTCCTCCCGGCAAGAGGCAGAGAGTGTATGTGAGCTTAGGCAGAAAAAGGCATGCAAGGAAGGACTGCTGGATGCTGACCGGTGCAAGCGCCTGCTCTTACAAAACAAACCTGGGCAATCGGCTTCATCATTCACAAGAGGACACATCAAAAAAAAGGCAACATGAGTGTGAGCTGATGCCCCTAGCAAGAAGCCCAATCGCTCTGTCCCTGCAGAATGCATGGATATTCACGAAGAAGAAAAATATACAGCCACAGCCATGCAGAAAGAAAAAATATTAAATGATCTAAAATCTTGACAATATACTTGCCTTCCAAATGTCACTATTAATCTTTCCCCCATTCAGAACAGCAAAATCACTCCATGGCTGTTTCTAGACATATAATTATTCACATAGGAAAAAGCACATTTATTTAAAGAAAAAAAAAAAAAACAAAAAAGAAAGAAAGAAAAAAAAAAAACACAAGACACTGTTGTTAGCATTGATATTCACAGGATGGGTTAGGGAACAAATCAACTCTAACAGCAACTTGTTAGCTCACTCTCTCTAAATCTAGATTGTTACCTGATGACTAGGCAGGAGAAGAGATGGCACTTTAATTACTTACCAAAACAAATGGCTGAACATTATTAGAAGCAAACAGTGAAGTTATTTTCTAAATGTGGTCTATTTTCTAATGTGGAAACACAGAGTATGCTTCTGAGTGTTAAATGCCTAGCATACATAATCCCATTGTCACCTTACCCCTCATTAACCACACAGAACTGTTTTCTGGAGGTGGGGGTGGAATCAGGGATGATACTGTGCTGGTTTGAAAACTGGAAAATGCCCATGGCTAAGGGCACAGAAAGCTGGGGTCAAGTTATTTTCACTTAAAAGAAAAAAAAAAAAATGAAGGGGAGAGAAGGTTAGTAGGAGAACAGACTGACACCAACATCTTGCTGAAATTTAACCTAACAAAAAACAGCTCTCAACAATCTCATGAAAATTGCTCTTATTCATAAAAAGTCTACTTCTTTGTTACACAACCCTCTTCACAAATTAATATTTGATCACGAAATGATTTTCTAAACATAATTATAGTACAAAGCCTGGAGCCTGGCCTCACTGGGAGAATTCTTGCAATAAATCTTCAAATCTGAACAACTCCTGTCATCCCTCTCAGACAACGAGGAAATGTCTCTTCTTTCCACTATGCCAAGTGAATACTCAAATATTTTTCACTTAATATTTGGGGAAATAAACGAAGCTAGTAAAACCCAAGGACAGTCTTATGAATGTGCGCTACTGACTTGCCAGGTGAATCTCTTTCCTTGGGTGACAAATCAACAATAGAAACTTTTCAACTAAAATTCTTTGAAAATGAGTGAATGCTGACCCATAACATTTACTCATAACATCAATACAGTTTTTAAAACACAGAAGCTTAGTTCAAATGTCCCATGTGCTGGAAGATGGATTTATCTAACCCTGCAGGACTCTGTTAAGGCAAAGCCATTGCAAATTTAGGTCCATTACCACTAATGCACACTTGTCATCATTTTGCTTTCTTTTCTGGGCTTGGTACCTGAACTGCAGTGTTTCAAAATAAAAAAGAATTTAAGACCACTGTATTTATTTTTGAAAAATAATTTCTCTTAACAAATGAAAGAGCAGGAATGCTGTCCAACCCCTTTCCTCTCTCCTTACTCCACCCCCAAAAGTAGCATCCAGTCTTCATAGAGGAGAAAATTAATAACTTAGGAGAGTCTTATCCTGTTGACCCAGGGGAGCTGTAAACCCCCTGAAATGGGTGTGGGGTTTTGTGCATGTGCTTTCCTGAAGAAAAGACGCAGGACTTTTCTCATATTTTCAGAGGGGCCAGTGACCAAAAGGTTTAGAATCACCATTGCAGGGGTATTAATAAAGACTCACGATAAATACCTGAAATATCAAGTATGAAATAAAATTTTAAGCTAGAACGCCTTTTTTAAAAAAAGCAAGAAGGGCCGGCCCAGTGGCGCACTGCGCTAGTGCGCCGCTTGGGAAGCGCGGCGGCGCTCCCGTCGAGGGTTCGGATCCCACATACAGACCGGTTCCCGCTCACTGGCTGAGCGAGGCGCGGGGGCAACACCGAGGGTTGCGATCCCGTTGCCGGTCCTGGTCCGGTACGGGGGCGACACTGAGGGTTGCGAACCGTTGCCGGACACGGAAAAAGAAAAAAAAAAAAAAAAAAAAAGCAAGACGTGGCCCCAAGTCATCATCATTGTTTACACATGAACAATATTTGTTTTTCATTTAAGTTGAACTCTGAAAAAGCATATCAGATGATGAATGTGGAAGGCTCAAGATCATTGTGTCTTTGTGAAGAAATTAAAGAAAAAAAAGGAAGGGTGTCTGACAAAAAGAATGTGAAATCAGAAATTATCCTCAAGAGATGCTACATGTGGGGACCACAGAGGGTAAAAGAGGAGTATTTTCTAAAATAAGTACTCAGAAAGCCTTTAGCACTTAACAGTTGTGTGTGTGTGTGTGTTATTTAAAATTTTTTATATATTTACTCTTTGAACATAGGGGTCTCTGTAAAATAAAAAGCTGATTACCATTCTAAGACTCTATGTATCCAGCTTTCATACCATGGAAACATGAGTCAGCTGGCAACTGTCCAACAATCACCTTTTACAGATTTAAATAAATGAAGGCCCTAAATGGTGATTTTGCAAAAACTTATAATAACATGGACTCTCCTAAAGAAACCCTTTAGTACAAAACTCAAGTGAGGAAAAATGGAAATTGCCATTATACATGTTATGACTGGGCCAAAAGTCTTTTCTTCCCACCTATATTTTAAAATATTTACTTATATCAAAGGTGAGAAAACTTCCCCCTGTATTAGTGACCATAATTTTGCTTTTTTTAAAATTAAGGGCAATGAATCCTATGGTTTAGCTGAAACAGCCCTAGGCTTCTCAGAAACCTTGATGAAGTCTCCCACAGTTGTATAGATTGGATAATTTAGGAATTTTAAACTTTAAATGATTATTTGGTTCCATTTTATTTTTATTTTTTTGTTAATGCAACAGGACTTAAATAAATGAACTTTGATCTTTGTTTTAAAGATTATTAAACAAAAATTGTGTGTCTATACGTATGCCTCTTGAGGATGTAGCTCTTATTACTCTATAGGCTATGATCTCCGTGTAGTATATATAAACCGGCAGATTGATTTTCTTTGAGTGCTTGATACTGTTAATTACATCTCCATGTAGGGCTGAAAAGAATGACCTGTGTTTATGTATGCAGCTGTGTTGCTTCTGGTGCTGTGTTACTGTACACAGGAACGCATGCACTAGGGTTTTGCGTATGGTCCAGATGAGAAGCATGGTAGCCTTGCCAGTTAAGTGCCGCTTGCATTCATTGTTTATGCTGGAATTTTTTCTCCCCATGGACTGTAATTAAAACCTAGTGTTCAGTCACCATTAAATGGTAATACTAAAAAAAATAAAATAGAATAGAATTAAGATCAATGAAGGACTTTGCCTTGAATTTTAAAAACTACATAGCCTATTCATCTAAATTTTTTTTAATTAAGAAGAGAGAATATTTCCTACATTTAGCAACAGATTTTAGCTAATAAATTTTAGCTAATGAAATTTTTCTTTAAAAACAACCTAACAGAGATTCTTTGGTTCTACAGAAAGTCTGTGGCCACCCTAGGCTCTAGTCTGGATAACAGGGATTAGAGAGATGAGAGAAGAGAAGAGACAAAAAGAAAGACAATAAAAGAGGAAAATGCAGGTGGAGCGATATGCCTCAGGAAAGACACAGACACAAAGGTGGGGAAAAAGGGTAGCGAAGGACAAACAAAGACCATATTCCATGAGCAACAACCTCCCAACGGGTAATCTTCCGGGCTATAAGCCTCGCACAGCCAAGTGCTGGTCTGGTGCCAGAATTGTAGCTGGGGACACACTCTCCTCCTGGTACTTGTCCTGACCTTGCCCAGACGGAAGCACCTCTTACTCTGATTACGGTGATTACACTCAGTTCTGAGAGAGCCAGGGAGCCTGAGCTTCCCAGAGACAGTGTGGCCAGGGGACTGACCCAGCGCCTGGAGCATGACGCCCTTCGTGACCCTTCAGCACTGCACAGAAGCTGAGCGGGGGTGGACCCACCAAGGGGATCCAATCGTATAATCTTGGCTACTGAGAGCTTTCTTCTACCACACTTCCATATTTCTCTTCTGGGGTCTTGGGAAGCAATTCCACAAATCGAACATAAATGATAAATTGTCCTTCTGCTGGAAAAAGGCCAACATTGGAGTAGATCCTTTGACAATGTCAACAGAGTGTTCTTGAGGATGGAGTCTCAGGGGCTGGGAAAGTCCCTATGAGGGAACTTTCTTTAGGGTGCTAAAAAAGTCTCTGTGAAGTGAAGGGTTGAGCCTGCTGACAGGTAGGTAGAGAGGAAAAGCACGTGAACGTCCCACAGTGGCTTCAATGGAGGCTGTGATCATGTCATCTCTGTATGCGCTTTAGAAGCTCTGAGGCTAACGCAGCCTGCTGGAAAGCAGGGGTTCAGATCCTGCCTCTGCTCTCACTTGCTCTGCGACCTCAATTCCCTCATACGTCAAACAGGGCTAAGAAGACCTCCTGTCAGAGCACAGGCAAATAGATCAAGTACGTTAGCTCTTAACACAGGGACTGGCTGCCCAAGGTGCCCTGGGAATGACAGTTTTCTTTATCTTCTACTCTCTTTTCCTTCATGGAGAAAAAACAGTTTGTGGATTACAAAGCGTTATGAATTACACTTCTCAATCCTGTTTTGTCAAGACTTGAGCCTCAATAAGTATGGCCTTGATGATAAATGGCAGAAAACCTAGAATTCTGGAATTGCGAGGAATTGGCCAGGCAATGGTGGTGAGTGTTGTATCCATTTACGTGCGCATCGTTTTTCCTTTTTAAATGCTCTGTGTTTTTGGTGAATGCAACACTATCAGAAGAGTATATAGCCTTATGCTTTATCATGCAAACACAATTCAGAGAAGTTAAAAAAAAAATCAAACTAGTAAACAAACTGACAAAAGCTCCTGCAGTTAAATTAGTCTCTGTGAGCAGCAGCACCACGTAGAAATTACAATCTAGAGGGCTCAGGAGACCCAGGCTCTCACGCTGGCTTTGCCACCACAGCCAACCAACAGCTCCCTTGGCTATAAGGCTGGTTTATTCCTTCATTCCACAATGAATTTAATGAACTTCACCATGTGCCAGGCACTTTGCCAGGTGCTGGGGACACAAGATGAGGGCAACAGATCCTGACCCCCAAGGAGCTTCCTGGAGGAGACTCACGTGCCACAGGTAACAATACCATAAAGGGACACAATGGAATAAAGG